TGGGTGGATCATGAAGTCTGAAGTTCAAAACCAGCCTGGCCAAGACGGTGAAACCCCGTCTCTAATAAAAATATAAAATTTAGCCAGGTGTGGTAGCACATGCACCTGTAGTCCCCGCTACTCAGGAGGCTGAGGCAGGAGAACCACTTGAACCTGGGAGGCAGAGGTTGCAGTGAGCCGAGATCAGTGCCACTTCACTCCAACCTGGGCGACAGAGCAAGACTCTGTCTCAAAAAAAAAAAAAAAAAAAAAAAGGTCAAAATTTATGTTATATATATTTTACCACAATTTAAAAAGTAACGTAGTGTACCAAAAGCCACTGAATTGTACACTTAAATGGGTGAATTATGTGGTATGTGAATTATCTCAATAAAGCTGTTTTTCAAAAAACATAGGAGTGGTCCATAAACACCCTCTGCACACCCAAGCTCTCAGGGAGATCCAAACTGAAACCCCAGGGAGACGGCATGCCACACTCAGAACGGCTGTGCGAGAAAGACAGATACCAGGAGCCAGCAAGGAAGAAAGCAAGACGAAAGCCTTGCTGACTACTGGCAGGAGTGCAAAACACACCCAGACAGTGAAGCCGTTAGAGAAAACAGTCACGTGGCTGGTAACGCAGTGACCCTTGACCCTGCAATTCCACTCCTAGGTGTCTACCCAAGAGAAGCAAAAGCATCAGCCACACAAAGGCTTGTGAGCAGGTGTTCAAGGCAGCGTTACTCACAACAGCCCCAAACTGGAAACAACCCAAATGTCCCCCACTCAGGAACAGACACACAAAGCGTGGCGGGTCTCTGCAGTGGCTTTTTACTCTGAAATAAAAGGGTGCAGCGCTGAGGAGCTGGGGACAGACCTCCAAACATGATGTAAAATCAAAGACACCAAACGACCACCTGCCACGTGATTGCAGTTACACGAAAGGCCCACAGAAGAAACTTACAGAGACAGAAGTGGATGAGTGTTAGGGTTGCGGGTGGGAGGAAGGCAGGGCTGGCACTGATGATGGAAAGAGGTGAGGGAATTCTAGAGGCAGTGAAAACGTTCAAAAGCTGCGTTGTCGTATGGCTGCATGACTTGAAGTTTAATTTTTTTTTGTTTGAGACGTTGTTTCGCTCTTGTTGCCCAGGCTGGAGTGCAATGGCGTGATCTCAGCTCACTGTAACCTCCAACTCCTGGGTGGAAGCGATTCTCCTGCCTCAGCCTCTCAAGTAGCTGGGATTACAGGCGTGCGCCACCACACCCAGCTAATTTGGTATTTTTAGTAGAGACAGCATTTCTCCATGTTGATCAGGCTGGTCTCGAACTCCCGACCTCAGGTGATCTGTCGCCTTGGCTTCCCAAAGTGCTGGGATTACAGGCATGAGCCACTGCACCCGGCCAGGAACCTAAGTTTACTAAAACTCACAGAACCATACAACTATAGTGGAGGAATCACGTGGGAAGGAAACTACTTCAATAAAGCTGTTTGGTTTCTTTTAAGGTGACACCACAAATCAAAGGGTTAGACTGCTGTTGAGGGGACTGTGCCAAGGACATGAAGAAAGATTAAGCGGGGCCCCACCTCACACAATGCACAAAGAAAGAACAGCAAACGGCAGCGGACTCACAGCGGAGGCCTCCCATGCTGGGGCCGCCCAGTTCTGCCAGGTCCACGGTAGTCACCAAGCCCACTCAAGGTAGGCAGTGCTGCTGTCGCAATTGTATGAAAAAGGACAGTGCGGCCAGAGGAGGAGGTGACTGTGCAGGGACAAGCTGCACCCACAGCTGTGTCTTGAGCCAGCAGTGGGCGACGCCAGAGGCACTCTGACCGTAGGTGGGGATAGGTCCTAAATAAGACCCCTCAGCACAAATCACAGAGCAAAAGATGTCAGGACCCTGCCTCATAAAGGATGAACGAGAGAAGCGCTGTGTGACCAGAACCAAGAAAGGCGCTGTTCAGAGGACATGGCCGCCCCAGTGAGCCTGGAGGATGAAGCCAGGGCGAGCACGAGAGGAATCCCAGATGACTCAGCAATCAGCTCAAACTGGGGAGCTGAAACCCAGGACCCAGCCAGGGCCCTCCCTCTCTCGGCAGCTCCCTGTGGACGGGCACCAACCACATGCAGGGCATGGAGAAACCAGCAGCGTGGAGGCTCACGGAGCAGGACACTGCAGATGTGAGATGGCCAAGGTGGGCGGGAGCTCTCAGCATGGAGTTCGGGTGGCGTCGCTGTTGTCCTGCACGCGTGCACATGATGCTCCCAGCCCTGGGCGCTAGCAGCAGCGACACCCCACAGCTGCAACTAGCACACACAGTGCCCAGACCCTGAGCCCTAAACACACCCAGAAGGAGCCAGGGCACCCTGCAGGAGCGGCTGACCCACCCAGAGCCATCGGAAGCAGTACCCAGACCCTGAGCCCTAAACACACCCAGAAGGAGCCAGGGCGCCCTGCAGGAGCGGCTGACCCACCCAGAGCCATCGGAAGCAGTACCTAGACCCTGAGTCCTAAACAACCCAAAAGGAGCCAGGATGCCCTGCAGGAGCAGCTGACCCACTCACCCAGAGCCATCGGAGCAGTACCCAGACCCTACGTCCTAAACACACCTGGAAGGAGCCAGGGTGCCCTGCAGGAGCAGCTGTCCCAGAGCAGCTGGGTGCTGGGAGCATCTGGGTGCCAGAAAGTGTGCAGAAATTGTCGGGTGCATCATAAAGAGAGGAATCTTTAAGGGAGGGGCAGGAGCAGCGTAAGCGTTAAATTAAAAGGTGATGGCAGTGAACACAGCCAGACACACCCGTGGACACACACAGGTAGGCGGTGAGCGAGGAGGAGGAAGAAAAACTCTTCCGTTCGAGGACGCTAGCAGCAGATCAGAATTTGACAGCTGACAGACATAGCAGGCTATTAAGACTAAGGGAGAAGGTGGGGTTTTCTCATCTCAGAGTCTCCCCCCAGCAAACGCGTCAGCCAGAGAGATCCCTTTGACGCACACGGGGCGAGCGCCCAAGGCAATGGAAGAAAGCAGCGCTGCTCCCGGAGGGCGCCGCCGTGTACCAGGAGGCGCGTGGCAGGCCCCGCAGGTGCGCAGTCAGGCAGTCTCAAGTCACCCCCGTCCTCAACTCCTGGACAGGCGGCGTCTGGCGGAGGTTGACCCCTGAGCTGCAGCCGTGGGCCTCCGAAAGGGGAAGAAGCGGAGATTTACTCTCTGCCTAAATTATTCACAAGAAAAGGGAACGTGCCTCTTTAACAAGCCATCGCCTTATGAAGCAAGGTTAACAATTTCACTTGATTCAGTGGAATATTATAAACTCTCTGGGGCCCATTTGAGGACTTCTACTTCTGGCGCAAGGTGACGACTCAGCACTTTTCACATTATTTAGAGAATAAAATTAACCCTCGCAGGCCCAGGCGGCCGCCTGTACCCGCTGGATCTGGCCGGCTCAGCGCTTTCCCATATATAATTACAAGCTGCGATCCATCATGCGGGTGCCGGGCGCGGACACGCGGAAAGGCAGCAGTAAGCACTTCCACTAATAGAAGCAGGACCTAAATATCACTTTGATATTTTCATTTAAATTGAAACAGTTTACAATAATCAGCCATGGCCTCCATGGGGATCCTGCCACCACCCCTACAGGGTCTGGGGTTGCCCCAGTCAGACCCTGCCTCCCTGAAGGGGCTTCCCTGCCAGGCTCCAGATTGGGGAGCCCGGCCTGGCCAACCCTTGGCCTGGCAGCAGGAGGAGCTGGGGGCTGGCTCCTCCCGGGAAGTGGGCGTGAGGACTGAGGATGAGGGAGAAGGTGCTTGGGGAGGGCCCGACCCACCACAGAACGCCGTGCACAGGGTGTGCGTGGCACAGCTTCTACAGGACCCTCGTTGGGCAGGAGAGACACTGGAGCCTAGGGCTGGCGTCCTTGCGGGTGGGCTGGGAAAGGGTTCTTGGGGTACCTGGTGTTCTCGGCTTCACAGGGATTTCAGACCCTGAGGCAGCACCGACACTCACAAGGTATGAGGACTGGGTGGCAGTGGGCCCTGCTGCAGGCCCCGGGGCTCCCTCTCAAGGTGCCAGGGACTAGGGAGCATCTCCAGTCCCCCAGCTCTGGGCCACAGCTTCCCTTGCAGCCGCTACTGGCCCCTCCCCTGCCTGAGCCAGGAGGCCCCCAGCCTTAGCCACCAGGAATGGGCCAGGTGCAGGAGCCCCCAGGGCAGGGAGAGCCACAGGCGTGAGAGGCTGGGGGAGAGGGGGCTTGTACCTGGGACCAGGATCACTGGGGTGGCTGAGGCCACAGTGCTTGGGGCGGGGAGTCCTGGTGAAGCCAGGAGGGCAGGTGAGGCAGAGGGGAATCTCCCAGACAGGCGAGCCTATGAGCGCCTCTGCAGTGCAGGAGTCAGCCGTGCCCCCGGAAGAGGGGAGTTGGAGCCATCAGCTGCAGGTGAACCTCGCAGCCCAGGACCCCAGTTCCCCACCCAGCAGTGGTGCCCCCCAATGGGCTCCAGTGCCAGCTCACTCCGGCCTCGCCAGCCATGGCTCAGGTGGCCCCCTCGGCTCTGCCCAGCCCACCCCTCTGTCCCAGGCTGTGTGGGAGTGTCCCGTCCACCCCCTGCCTTCCTGGGGAGGCTGCTGGCCACACATCCACCTGCAGCCCTGCCGGACCCCGGCCTCCAATATCCCCTTCATCACACTGCCACCCCAGCAACATCCCAGGGGCTGCCCCGGCCCAGCCACCACACCCCCACCATCCAGGGACAGCTCCCACGGCTACGCACGCTGAACCTGGAAGTCTAGGCCCTCTGCAACTCACCTTCCCACGGTTCAAACCCCACCCTGGGCTGGTGCTGTGCAACCCCGGGAAAGCTGCTGGACCTCCGAGTCACTGCGAGGTGGAGGTGGAGCTGATGACAGTGAACACCTCAGGGTTGCAGAAAGGTCATCCAGCCGCCACAGCAGGCACCCAGAGTGAGCAGAGGACGACCAAGCCACAGGAACCCCGCCCACTTGGGACCCACGGACCCCTCACCTTTGCACCCAGCGGGCAGTAGCCTTTCAGGAAGTCGCTGCAGACCTCGGCCTTGCGAGACACATACACGTGGCTGTAGGGGCAGTTGCTGTTGCTGCAGATGCCCTTCAGAAAGTACGAGCACACTGGCATCTGCAGGGGAAGGGGAGGGCGGCAGTGAGGCCCCGCGGGCAGCCCACAGATGGCCCTCCCCAAGACAGAGACGGACACGCTGGCTGGCTGGCAGGAAGAGCAGCCACCAGGAGCTGCAGGGCAGGGAAGCTGCTGCTCAGAGTGGGCCCAGCCTCCCCGGGGAGCCGCACCCTAGCCCTCGCTCTGTGGAGAGGACAGCACAGCAGCCTGCAGCCCTGCGGCTCCAAGTCCCTCACCTGCTCTGAGCCTGTCCCATCTAGGGCAAAAGGGCGGCCACGGTGCCCAACCACTAGCCTGTGGCCAGGGCTGCCCTCAGAGCCCCTCAGGCCATGGGGCCAGTGTCCAGATGGGAGGACGAGCCACGGGCCAGCAGCTAACAGAGGGCCCCCCAGGCACCTGACCGTGGGCCACATCAGTGTCCCTGGGCTCTGGGTGGGCAGGGCCGTCTGGGAGCAGGCCTGGTACGGCTCTGGTTGCAGGCCAGCACTGTGGCGGCTGAGGCCTGTCAGAAGGAGAGCCAGCAGCGTCCTCCTCCCCAGCACAGGGCCGCTGGCCACAGTCAGGGCTTGCTGTCACCACCTGGGCTGTGAGAGGGAAGAGACGCACTGTCCTCCCATCTGGGGAACCTGAGGCCTGAGGAGCACTGGCGGGGCTAGGGCCACCCGGGGAGGGAAGCAGGGGCCTCCTGCCATCTCCAGGAGACACCTCCCTGCCCCTCGTGGGCCACCACGGGTTCCTCCTGGGCTGCCTGCGTGTCCAGAACGGGGATGTCCTGCCTCAGCTTGGAGCCCCCACAGAGCCCCCGCCGGGCACCCCGGGGTCTCCAGCCACTCCCCTGGCTATTCCTGTTCCCTCCAATGGCCTCTGTGGAGCACAGCCCCACCCTCCCTCCAGGGCCAGACCACCCTCCCTGCCCCTACCCCACCCTGGGCCCCTCCCCTTCCCAGAGCCCTGGGGAAGCTGGGCAGACCCAGAGACTTTAAAAAGTCACTTTTCTGGGTGAGGCTGGGGAGGGGAGAGGAACCTGCCTAAGGCTAAGGAGAGAAAAAAGGGTCCAGAGAGTCAGCGGCCAGGGCTGAGAGGGAGGGAGAAGGCCAAGAAACAAAGGGTGATTTAAGAAGTGGGAGTTTATTTCTAATTGTCTTTTAACTGCAGCCGCAGAGGGGAAAGGGGTTGGGGGCCCATTTGGGGCTGGCGGTGGTGGGCTGTAGACAATTCCCTTAATGTGGTTTTTGATATAGAGCCCAAATTAGCTCTAATAAAAAGGGATGATAAAGCCAAATCTCCACCAAACGGAGCTCCTCCTGGCTGTCAGAGCGGGGCTGTTATCAAGAGGAAACTGCGTTCTCATTTCAATTAACCTTGTTTGCACCCTGCCACGTCCACACAAATAACAATAACATTAATTCAGGGTGCTGGTGCGGGGCGTCCACATTAGACAGCTTGGAATGTGCTCCTGCTTTGGAGCTGGGAGCTAATGAACCCGAAACTCGACGTGAATTTCCAAATTGCTCACAACAGAGTTCCGAAGCTCTATTAGGGAGAAAAATGCTGATTCTTTTCAAGTTCCTCAAGGGGAAAAGCTGTTGCAGCAGCAGCACCCCTGCCCAATGCCGCCTCCCTCACCCGCGGCAGCCACCACTCCACTGGTATGCCATGACCACACCGCGGCCGAGTCCAGGGCACAGGCGCTACGTGTGTCCCTGCTAGCCTGACCCCTGACCCCGGCCCCAGAGCTCTCTTGCTTCTTCCCAGCCGGGACCCACCTTGGCTCAAGGTGAGTCTGTGGGGCTTTGGGCGGCAGGAACACCCACATGAGCCAGGAGCCCTGCTCTGCATGTGTCCAGCCCCTCCCTCCCGCCCTCTGCTCAGGCAGCCTCCCCTTGAGCCCCTCACACACAGCTTCCCCAACCCTGAGGCCTCAGCCCTGGGTCCACAGGGGCACCTGTAAAGCCAGCTTCCCCTGGGCATGTGTATGGGGGGGTCTGGGGATCTGGTGAGGCCTGCTGCTGCCAGAAGGAAAAAGGGACCCTGACATGTGGTTAGGGGGGACCCATCAGCACGCTTTGGCGGGAAGAGGGAGCCCGGAGGCATGGCCCACAGAGGGACGGAGGTGGCACGGCAGCCTCTAAGGACACCAGGGCTGGGATCTGCATGTCCTAAGCCCAGGGAAAGCCGTGGGCACCATCTACCCGGGGGCCGGGCAGCCGAGACCCCAGAGAAATGTGAATGGGAGAAGGGCTGCCAGCGCCACACTCACCTTCTCCTTGGACACGTGGTGGGAGAAGGGGCAGGTCCCATCCGTCTTCTTGCAGGTGCCCCGGACAAACCTGCAGCAGCAGGAGAGAGGGTGTGAGGAGGGGCCGGCAGGGACCGAGAGCAGGGCCTGCTCAGAACCTCCCCCGGCCCCGCGGTGAGGGCAGGAGGGCACCTGGTGCACACGGCCACCTTCTCAGGGTCGTGGATGTAGGGGCAGCGCTCGCCGCGGTTGCACCTGCCGAAGCGGTTGTAGTACATGCAGAACTCCTTCTTCTTCTCCCTCCGCTGCCGCGCCTGACGGATGATGGCCAGGCTACGCTGCACGGCCCGGCTGCAGACAGGGAGAGACGGGCGGTGTGAGCCCGAGGGCGAGCAAGGGGCCCACCCACTGCCCGGCCCAAAGGAAGTACCTGGCCAGGGAACGGCTACAGCTGCCTGCAGGGTCCAGCCGGCCTGTGGGGAGAAGGGCCTGGGTCACAGCGGGCCACAGCCTGGCCTGCACATTCTTTCCCTGCTGAGCCCTTAGCCAAGGCCCTCCGGGGTCCCAGCACTCAGCTCAGACACAGCCTCCCCTCCCCACAGTGGGTCAGCGGCCCTCCTGGGCCCTGCCAGGCCTCACTGGGGACACAGCACTGAGGGTGGGGAGCTGCTGGGCCCGGTGTCTGGCTCCTCTCCAGGGCAGGGGCTGGGCAGCGCTCCTGTCCATGCCCTCAGAGCTGGCAAAGCCAGGCAGCACCTGCAGAGGGCTCAGCCACGTGGGCTGGTGCGCCCGTCTGCTCCTGCTACCTCCCTGGAGAGGCTCCCCAGGGCCACACTCTGCTGGCTGGACCTCCCCTGCTGGCTTCCTCATACCCCTGGGTGGCCCCCCTGGGCCGTGGCAGTGACTGGCCCATGGACATTGCTCCTGGCTCCCTCCTCAGCCCTGGCCACAGGGAACCTGCCTTGTAAATAGCGCAGCCACTAACAGCAACACCTCCCTCTCCAGGGCCTGGCCCGGAGCTTGTGGGGGCCCTGTGGAGTTGCTGACCAGGGCATGAATATGGCCCCTGGGCACCTGTGACCAGGCCTTTTAGGAGCAAGAGCGGTTTCTGATGTTTAGAGGGTTGTAAAACCAAAACTAATGAAATGCAGCGGAGAAGGTGCTGGGGCGAAGCCCGGTTGGTGGCAGCTTCTGCCCACCGCAGCTGTGGGTTCCTGGGGAAGGGATCTGTCCCCAAGGCCCTGGCTGGCCCTGGCAGATATTGGCGGTGCCTGCTGCTCTAAATTTTGGAGGTGCCTCATCAGATGCTGCTCGAGTATGAGGACCACCCCAGCCTTTCTGAAACGTGGCCTGAGGCGGCGGCACTGGTGGGAAGGGAAGGGACCTTGCGGCTGGACACTGTGGAGCGCTGCGAGGCCTGAGAGCCAAGAGGAAGAGGCAGGGAGGGGCCCCGAGTGTAGGAGGAGGGTCTGCTCTGGTGGCACAGCCCTGCCTGCCTTTTACAGACAGAGGTCACCCCCAGGATCATGGGGCGGGCAGGGCAGGACAAGCCTGCTGAGGGCGGCTTTCCCGGGTTCCTCAAATACACACATGACCCTGTCCAGACCAGATCCAATTTCCTACAGAGCAAATGCTGAAATAGACACTATGGTTAAGAGGCAGAGGTGACATCACTCAGAAATTCTGGGAACCTGAGGTGGTGACAAAGCCATCCTGGTTTAAAAAGGGATGTCCCACAGCTGCCCCGCCCCGCCCCACTGAGCACCAGAGAGCAGCCTTGTCTTCACTCTCGCAGGTTGCCCGGTGCCACAGGCTCTGTTCCTTCGCACCCCCAGGCTGGAGCCTCCCACACTCCCCACTTTGTGCTTTGCATCCAACCCCGCGCTCGCTGGCTGGAGTCGGTCGTGCTGCTGCCCTTTGCCCTCTGGGACCCTGCCTACTGCCCCACTCTCAGTCCATCTCAAGTTTCAAAGGGCAGCTCCAGAGTTGAGTGGAGGACTTGGCTGGGGCAGAAGCAGGAGCTAGTGATGGTGCCTGGGGGCAGGAAGGCAGAAACCTGGGGGGTGTGGGGAGGCCAAGGGCAAAGGGAGGGTGATGAGGGTCTTGGTGCTGGGGGCTAATGCGGGAGGGGCTCTCGGGCTGGGACAGGACGCTTGTCCTCGAGTGGGCAGCCGGCCCCCGTCCAGGCAGCACGGTATGGTGAGGGACGGGCAACGTGGCGGCCTGTCAGCGGTGCTGCTTCCCGGGCTCCCACCCCGCTGCTGGTGACAGCATGGCGCCATCTGCTCCCGGCCAGGGACACGCTGGAGTCACACGCCTGCCTGGCAGGACCGGGGTTCGGGGCTGTTACTTCCCTTTCCACTCTGCACTCTTTAAAAAAAACGCCAGCATGAGGCTCACGGCAGGAGTTCTGGGAAGAACAGGAGGCACTCTTTCAAATGCTTTGCGGTGTTAAAAAATGCACATAAAGTAGCTGGCTGGAAAAGAGGCAAGGGCTGCCTGAGAGGTGCTAAAAAGTTCAACTGAATAACCCCCAGCAACTCGACAGCAGAAGGTGCCATGCATTCCAGAGAACCTTCACTTCCCCAGGACCTTCCTAGAATAGACATGGCCCCCGCCAGCCCCACCCCCTGCTGAGTGCCCCAGTGCCACTCTGGGCCGGGCTCCTCCTGACATCGGGCACTGCTGATGTCAGGCTCTGCAGGGCAAGTGGAACGGGGGCCTGCGGTCAGGGCTTCCTCGGCACCTCCAGCCCGTTCCGGCCAGCACCCCCTGAATGACTGCTGCCTGGCCTGAGGGACAACATCCATGACAAGCAGGGCATGCAGGCAGCCCCAACCCCCAGGCCGGCCCTCTCCCAGGAAGTCAGGCAGAGCTGCACCAAGCCCTGGTCTGCTCAGAGCACGCCCACCAGGTCCTCCAGGGCATATCCGTCTGCCACCCTTGGCAGAAGGCGGCCAGCAGCACAGGACACCCCAGGAGAGGCGATGCGGGGGCATGCGGATAGGGCCTTCCCTCATCATCCCAGGGAGGCTCGGCAGGTGACCAGCAGGGGAGGTGCAGAGGTGTGCAGAGGTGCACAGAGGTCCCATGTGCCAGGAACACTGCGCAGCTGGCCAGCAGCAGGGAGGGCCATGGCCACAGGTGCCTCACTCTGGCCTAGGGGCTTTGGGGACACAGAACCAGCCAAAGCCAGCCCTGTGGCCTGAGACGGCCCCCCCACAGTGGCCATCAGGCTCTTGGTGGCCACACATGGGCCCTGCCCATTGGGTACTCACACCAGAGTAGGGAGGGGCCCTGGGGTTCAACCGTTCAGGTGGCAGGCGGACCGGGAGGAAGGGCTGGGCTTCAGGGAGTAGGGAAGCTGGGGTAGAAGCCACTCTACACTCTGCCATCAGGGGCCCAGAGCCCGGGTGTCAGCCAGGACAGCATCCCCACCCCTTCCAAGAAGGCTGCACTTTTTTGTTGAAGTCAAATTTCTGCTGACACTAGGGGAGAAAATTTATTTCTTTAATTATTATTCCTCTAAGTGGGCCGATCAGCGGTATCCCACAGCTGGGAGCCATCTACCTTCCTCACGGTGAGGCGGGACCGGTGGGGGCCCAGGCAGCTGGAGCAGTGGCTTTGCCTGCCCACCCGAAGGGCGGGTATGGGCTCCCTGGGTGCTGCACAGCCCCAGGACCACTGCCCGCCCTAGCTGACACCGGCCTCTGTGCACCAGGTACTCCTGCTTGCATTGCTGAGGCTGACCAAGGGAGCTCTGGGTTGCTGCTGGTGCAGGGGTGAGATGGGCCCAGAAGGGCTGGAAAAACCAGACTGGCTCTCAGATGCCTCTGGGGCAGAGGAAGGGCCAACAGAGGCAGGGGCCAGTGGGCAAGAGTGGACAGGATGGACTGTTCACAGTGAGGTGACGTCAGGGGCTCTGCGCCCGTCGGGACTCTGCCATGTGTGTAAATGGGAAGGCAAGATTCTGCGGAGCTCAGCACTTGGCACTGGAGGGGAGACGCAGCAGCGCCGCAGCCTCCCAGGGAGGAGTGTGGGGCCCCTCCCTCTCCTCCCCACTGCTGAGCAGCCCGCCATACACTCCCTCCTTCCCAGAGCTCAGAGCCTGCGCCGTTCGGGTGGTGGGCACCGTGTTTAGGAGGGCCAAGTGCAAGCCGGCCACCTGCCTGCCGTCTGCCAAAGGCGTCTCGTGGATGGACACTGAGGGATGGGAGGAGCCGGGGCACCAGGTACACCTTCCCCCACAGGCCCACCCAGCCCAACACACATGGGGGCCGCAGGATCCCGCTGAGGGCTGAGACGGACCCAAGCCACAAGCCCCTCCATGGGTCGCACAAGTGCATGGTGTGTGAGCCTGAAGATGGGGGAGAGAGTCCTGAGGACACACCAGACCTGGCGTGAAGAGGCGGGGCCAGCCTTGGAGCTGTGCAGGGAGTGGGAAGTAGCTGCTGTGGTGGGGGTCGCTCCCTGAGTGGGTAGGTCCTGGAATGGGCTCTGGCTCTAGAAAGGACGGTGGGCATCCCCTCCCAAGCTCCAGCTTTCGCAGAGCAGGACAGGGCCTACCGACTGACTGCCCGTCCTGGCTGCCTGGGTTTCTCGGGGACATCAGGACATCATGGTCTCCATGGCTGCTGTCTTGGCCCTTAACCTCAGTCAGTACAATCATCATTACTGCCAGGAGCTTTCTGAATGGGGTGCAGTGGTGCCAGGCAGATGACCCCGCCCCGCCGGCTGCGCACAGGGTCCTGCGATGCCTGGTGATGCCCCCGCACGCTCCCGCCCAGGCCTCCACATGGCCGCCTGGGGATGTGCTTGCTGCTCCCATCCCTTCTGGCCTCCTCTCAGGTTTTAGCTCATGAGAAAAGCCTCCCTGACCGCCTGACTGGACACAAGTCTGTGTAGTTACACCTCTGGACCCCAGGAATCCTCCCTCATGTTCAGCCTGTGCCCCCCACCCGCACTAGGACATCAGAGGCAGCATCCGTGGAAGGTGCAGGGCACCCTCCTTCCCAGGCAGGCAGGTGAGGGCTTGGGGTGCCCTTCCATGGACAGAGGGATCAGCCCAGCTTCTCTGCCCACTGCCTCCCGGACCAGAGAGGAAAGCCAGTGCAGGGACCGTGCCTGCAGCGCCAGTGCCCTCAGGACCACGGGCCAGCTAACATGGGGCTTGGCCTGTGCCAAGGAGGCCCCGGGGGAAGGTGGGATCGGCCGGCATGAGCAGAGAGGCCACCTCTTGGCTTCATGCCGGGGGGCCAAGCCCAGTGTCTTTAGAGCACCTGCTACCGGCCCCAGGAGCTCCTCTGCTCAGGCTCCCTGTGGGCCACATGGCTAGTGGCTGCTGGACGCCGCAGGCACCTGGGACCTGCTGTGCGAGAGACTGGGCATGGGCTTCTGTTCACTCAGGGAGGCGCCTGCTGGAGAGGAACCCGAGGCTACTGCCCTCCATGATACCAACAGCTGTGTGTAGGGCCCCATGGACCACCAAGCTATGGGGTCACAGGTAACCAGAGCAGGCCTTGCTGGGTGACAGGAAGACCTGTCTCCCAACCCATGGCAGCATCCCCCAGAGGCAGAGCCTCACCAAGGCCCCCATGTTCTGAGCCAGCTCCTGCACTGATCACCAGGGTGAAGCAGAGATGAGGCCACGTGCACAGATCACATGGCCCAGTCCCTCAAGGCACATGCAGGGGTCACACAATGCCTAGTTGGGGACCCAGGGCTTCTCACCAGATCCTCAGCGAGCGGGGGCTTATTCCTGCTCAGTTCACCGGGCCCCCCAGCCCCAGCGACCAACTGCAGGCATGGGCACAGGCACTGGCCAGCCAGTGTGGCTCGGAGAGCCCTGTGAGGCAGGTGCCAGGGCCCCCGTGCTGCTCCTTGGGAATACGTGCCCAGCAACCCTGCCTGGGAAACAGCCCAGAAGCCCCTGGAGCCCAGAGACGGATGCTAGGAGCAGAGCCTGGCAGGGCAGCCAGTGAGGCTGGCTTCCAGGGAGGCAGGGCGGCCAGCGAGGCTGGCTTCCAGGGAGAGATGCTCCCTGCCTCTCCTCTGACCCCCACAGACCCTGCCCTCAGAGTCTACCTCCTCCAGGTGCTGAACCTGTCCTCCCTCCAGGCCCAGGTGGGTTGGAGAGCTGGCACCGCCCAGCCTCTGCAACCTCAACACCACTTGCAATCTCCCCACTTTTTTTTTTTTTTTGACGGATAAGAAGGGGTAAAATTGGACTGAAATCAAAATATTTTTCTAGTTAATTTGTAGGATAAGTGAAGCCAAAGCATTTCCTTTTCCTGAGCCTGTTTCCCTGGACTGGGAGGGTGCGAGACAGCGGCGCCAGCTGCCTCCAGACACAGTTGTCGATGCGTTGCCAATGTGATTACGGGCACCGCGGCCCCAGGTGTGCGCTCACCCGGGCGTGTTTACCGTACCTGGCCTCATCCTTTGTCCAAAATCGAAACACGGCGCTAGTGAGCAACTCTCCCCCACCCCACGGAAAATCAGGGGCCACTCAGCCAGGCGAGCCGGTCGCCACTCCAGGGCCCTTCCCGGGGGATGGCAGAGAAAGGCTTCCCGGCACCCTCCAATCTCTGGCTACCCTGTCGCTCTCATTAGGGATGGCTAGGAAGACGCTGGGTGTATGAAGAGTGAAATTAACTCCCCGGCTGGGACGTGACCCATTTGGGAAGTGCTTGTTTGGACTGACTCCCTGGAAGCATGAGGCCCCTGAACACCTCCCCAAGACAGGGGCCTGAGCCAAGGCCTGGAGTAGCCATGGCATGTCAGAGGTTAAGGGGTCTGGCCTGCAGTGCCCACTGCACACTGGTTGGTGTCATTCCCCCAGCGCCCCCACCCCACCTCTCACCTGTGCGGAGGAGGGGCCTGCTGCCGGCATCACCAGGCTGGCCGGAGGTCTTGGAGAGCTTGTTGGCAGACACTTTGTAGAGGACCCCTCCGATGCAGCGGTAGCCTTTGCTCCGCCACCGAGGGGAGCCTGGTTGGGCTTTCCCACCCCCGCTGGCAACTGGACGCAGGCGGTTCAGCACCAAGGACCTGCAGAGACAGGAAACGCCCGTCAAACCTCGCCCCAGGACAGACTACAGCTCTGGAGGTCAGTGCCAGGGGCCAAGCCCAGGCCGGCCTCCCAAGGGGGACAGCAGCACTCACGGTGGGTACACACTGCTGCTGGGGCAACCACGGGCCACTGGCCCAGCTGCCAAGAAACCTCTGTCCCCCATCCCCAACCTTCGCAGCTGGGGCAACCACAGGCCATTGGCCCAGCTGCCGAGAGACCTCTGTCCCCGTCTGGTCCCCAACCCCCACATCAGGGACATTTTGGCTGTCATCAGGGAATGCTGACAAGGAGTCCCAGGAGATGGTGCCCCCAAACCCACTCATGAGGTTGGGAACTCATGAGCCCTTAAGAGCCTCGGTGAGGGAGCAGCATCGTCCTCCAGTGCACACCTCTCCCGTGGATGTAACCAGCTGGCTGTGCACTGCGGGATAAGGGTCCCTGGGGCTGCAGGGCAGTGGGCCTGCAAGGTGTCCACGTGTTGATGAGAAGCACAAATGGCCCTTGGCACCTGGGCTGAGACTCCCCTTGAGTCTGCTTCAAGGCTGGGACTGTTTCTACCAACATGGCCCTGGCGCATGCCATCCTGGCCTTCAGGACCACGGACAGCATAGGGTCGGCAGGCTGTCCTGCATCCCCTTCACCCACGGCTCAGAGAGCCCTGCACTGAGCGTGCACTGAGCCAGGCAGGCTGTTTGGGGAAACACTGAAGTTGCCTCAAGTCCAAGGGCTGAAGAGGCCAGAACGGTCCCTGGAGTCAGCTGAGCCAATGACCCCGGTTGGAGGAGGGGACCGAGGCCAATGGACCCTGAGCCCTGCCAGCCCCCACTCCTGCCAGATACCCCACAGCTCCTGGGGAAGTCCGGGGACAGAGCAAGACAGGAGGGGCCTGAGTTGTACTCCAGAGGAATCTCTCTGAAGCTGCCAGCCACGCCTACAGCCCTGCAGAGCCATGGGCAAGCAGTCCCAAGGTGGGGGCTCAGGGCCTAGCATGGCCCTCTGCAGGGCATGGGGCTGCCAGGGTACATTTCGGCAGTGATTTGCTCATGCTAATTGAGCTTCATTCCACATTAGCTCACACTATGCTGGAGCTGCCATGACCCGTGAGGTGAATACCACGCCTCTCAGTAATCTGGGCAGGCGTGTGCTGGGCCATCCCTCCCAGGTAGCCATGAGTAGGCAGGCGGCAGAGGGGCCAGCCAAGTGGGAGGCATGGATGGGCAGGTCAGGCCTGGCACTAGGCTGGGCCCCGCTCTACGCACCCCGTGCCACATGGGTCCCCTTGGCCTTGTAGCTGCCACAGGCCCCTCTGCCGTGGAGTACACAGCCCCAACCCTGCCACAGCTGCACAGGCCCCTCTGCTGTGGAGTACATGGGCATCAACCCTACCACAGCTGTAGGAGACCTCTTTCCAGGTGGTCTTGGCCGGGGTGGGGTATCCCTAGACCCAGGCATGCAGCATGCATGAAGGTGGGGCTCACTTGTCTGGCTGGATGGGGCAAGTGCAGGCAGACAGCAGCACAGCCCTCAAAGCCACCTTCAAGGAGCCAACAGACCTGGGGGTATCAAAGTCGCCCTCGAGGAGCCCACAGACTGGGGGGTACTGGGAATGGGGCAGCCCTGCTGTCGGGTTCAGCCGTCATCCCCACCTCTCAGAGCCACAAGCCCTCCGGGCCTTGGTCTCTCCGCCTGCAAGCTGGGGTAATTCTCAGCCGCCGGGGCCTCCAAGGGCCCATTGGAGAGAGAACAGGAGCAGAGAGAGCCTGGCGCCAGGGACTGGAGCTGCAGTGTAAGTACAACCACGGCGGCCAGAGCACTTAACCCAGTTTCCTTTAATTACAATTCGAGTTCACAAACACCAGTCTTGGCGGGAAAGAGCCCACCAAGGGATGTAGCAGTGCTGAGTGGTCTGCTGGCCCCTGCCTCCCACCCATCCTGTCTGTGCCCTGCACCTTCGCCTTGCCCTGGCACCAGACCTGGAGGAGGGCCAGGCCGGGTGGGACCTCCTGCACTAGCCCCTCAGCTGGAGAACCCTGTCAGCCCTGGGGGCTCAGAGGCAGGTTCTGGCCTTCCATAAGAGCTATGGCCACTGCCTGAGGGACACTCAGCTTGACCCCAAATCCCACTGTCAGGCTGAGCCCAGGGCCCTGGCCACTAGAGCTGGCTCAGCCTGATGCTGGCAGGCCCCTGGGACAGCCTCCACACCAGCCCTTCAGTACACAGAGGCCTCAGGGGTCCTACTGCCCACAGGGCAGCTGCTCCTTCCTACACCAGCCCAGGGCTGGGCAGTACTGGGAGGGTGAAGGGGCTGGTGGCCCGGGTGCACAGGCCACTCACAGAGCCTCTGGACATCACATAATTGGGGCCAGGGCAAGGGGCCACTCAGGGCCACCCTCCTGGGAGCCCCCAGCTCCCTGCCTTCCCGCAGGCTCTGGTGAGTGGCTGCACACTCGGGAAAAACACCCACTCAAAAAAACAAAACAAAACAAAACACCCACTCCTGCATGCCCAACCCTGCCCACAGCACAGGCTAGACTCAACCCCAGCCGCCACAAAGCAAGAGGGACAAGCAGGCAGCAGAGCCGCCCCAGCTCTCCGCCTATGTCCAGGACGCCCTGAGGAAACGGCAGGGAGGGAGGCCTGGAACCCAGGCCTGCGAGGACCCACCTGCGGGAGTGTGCCCCTGACTAAGGCTCACATGAGCACGGGCCACCCGACTCCCTTTGCGGCTCTTCAAAGACACGAGGGAAAGGGCGAGGCCTAGCTGTAGCACCTGCTCTCCCACTCAGGGGCATCCACGGCTGGCCAGGCCCAGGGAAGGGCTGGTGGGGGCAGAGGCACAGGGCCTCTGGGGGTCAGGGAGCTTCTAGGACCATCCCACCCACCGGGGCTGCCCTCAGCTCGGTCTGGCTGGGCGCTGTGGCAGCCATGTCCCTGCTCGTTCTTACAGATGAACACAAACAATTAGCTTGTCCCCTTCTCTCCTAAAAAAACAACTTACTGGAGCTGGAGGGCACCCACAGGACGTTCGTGGATCTGGGCAGAATGGGGGTGTGGCAGCCTCTGCCAAGCCGCCCCAGGCTCTGTGCCTGCTCTCCACGCCTGAGAATGTTCCCAGTGCCCCGCCTCGGAGCCCAGGGCCTCGGGAATGGGGCAGGGTGCTTCCTGGGGTTCAGCACATCGAGCCAGGGAGCCTCACTCCGAGAAGCTGGATCCTGGGAAGATGCTGTGGTGGAACCTCAGGGCCTGTGCAGGTTGGCGGGGGGCGATAGAGAACTGTCTGGGGTTGCCCTCACCTCTGACCTCGCCCTGGCTGCCTGGCTGGCTTTGGAACCTGAGGTAGGAGGGTGCTGGGAGGGCGTGGGGCAAGGGCCTTGTAGCATTTTCACGCCCGTGGGTGTCACAGCACTCCAGTAAATTGTGACCCTAATGGAGAGGACGGCCTCTGGAAACGAACTGCATTGAGAAGAGGGATGAAATTAATGAGATAATAGCAGGGCCAAGGACCCAGAGCGCGCATCTGCCCTCACGGCAAGGCTCTGTAATTCCTTTTCTGCAACGGGAGCTGCAGATCTAAAGGCCTCTCCCATCCGTCCGGCAGGCCCACGCCGCCAGGAAATTTCATTAACGCTGGAAAATAGGAAAGGTATTAAGCGTGGATAATGAAGGCCAGGGAGGGAACAGTGCCTTAAGATAGTCTTCTTTCTCGCCTTTGTAATGGGAGGCATGAACTTTCCCTTCAAATCCATTTCTAATCCATTTGAAATACTACAGCAAATTATCTTTCCTTCAGCCCGAAAGCGGCCAGCCAATTTACTCCGAATAGAAGTGACAATGCCCCAGGATTTATCACCATAACCTTGACTACACCAGGGCGAGGCTGGGCCTCCCCTCTCCCCCTGGGGGGGCATGAAGGCCAGGAGGGGGAGATAACATTTTAAATGAAAAGCAGCAGTAATGGGGAGAAAGACACACACCACAAAAGTGGGTTTATAAAGAAGCTGTCTGTGCAGCACGGCCTGGGGAGGAGCCGGAAACTTCCAGGCCACAGGCTGTCCGGGCTGGCGAAGGGCAGCAAGGGCGCCTGGAGGGCTGAGCCCAGGATGTCCTGTCTCTGAAAGCCCCCGTCTGCCTCAGCCTAGGCCCCTCTGTCCCCCTGAGTGCTGCCAGCGCCACCGGGCACAGGGAGCAACAGTAGGGGCCAGGCAGACCTCAGACCCTCGACCCCCAGTGACTCCTTCCGCCTGTCCCAGGGTTTCAGTGGTGCTGGGGAAGAGAGGCTTGCTCTGACGTCTTGGTTTTCCTGAAAGCCCAGGAGCAAACCTGGTGCAGCCCTTGCCGGCATCCACAAGGCATGCCCACGCACAGCCTGCCAGGTGCCAGCCTCCCGGGCCTGCAAGCCCTTTGCCACTGCTGCCAGGTAGCCCATGCAAGGACTTTGAGGGCCAACCCTGGACACCCACTCTCTACCTGTTCCCTGAGGGCATGGCCTGTGGCAAGTCAGAGCAGCCCCTGGCTGTGTAGCATGGGCCATACAGGCTGAGAGGGGCCTCGCCCCAGGCCACGTCATGGCTCCCAGGCACAGATGCCCGCATACACAGACCAGATCAGTGGCCTTGAGGCCAGGGCAGTGCCTGAACACGGTACCGTGCACTGCCTGCCCCGGGGTGACGGCTCAGCACTCACGCTCCCAGTAGCAGAAGCCCCAGCTCAGCAGAAGCACGCCTGACAAACTGAGGCGGCTCCTCAGCCAAGTGCAGCCCTGCTCCCTGCTGCTCGTGCTGCCTGCAGCGTCTCCATGCCACGGGACCCAGCCTCAAGACCAATCAGAGAGTGCTGGGCCTGGCAGTCGGCGTGACTGTGGCACAGTGGCGTGGTGGGCAGGCCAGGAAAGGGGCCCGCTCTCCTGACTCAGGCACAGGTGGTATGGGGACTGGTGGAGGCCTCCTCCACCCTACAGCCCCAGGAAGCAGCCCAGCCC